ATATATTTAATATAATTCATTGAGAGCCTAAGAGTTATATTATGTGTGAGGCACAGTGCCAGGTCATATACACACACTAGCTCTATCCTTAAATTAATTTTGGCACATAAGAGATATTCAATCGTAACTATTACTATTCTAACTAAATGATTCAGTTTAAAGTTTCTCTTTCAATGACACTGGACCAAGAAACTTTTCTGAAAGTTTCTTTGAACTTCTTGAGTATTCTAGCAGTTATAACCAAGTCTTGAGGTAAAGTACAAGAAGGTGTAATAGCATTCTACATTCTTTTAGAGGGCTTTAATTTACTTCTATTTCTGACCAAGTAAAAACAGCTTCAGAAAACCACCCACATCCTTCCTTTAGCCTATTCTCTTATTTCCCCTTCTTTTATTTTCTTCTCTTCTTTCCTCCTTTTCTCGAAGGACGGGGGAATAAGAGGAGGAGAAAGAGATGAGGGTGGACATTAGGAATAAACGGATCAAGAGAGATTGTTTCATTTATACCACTTTGATTGAACAGGATACAACATAATATACTATAGAGAGCAAGATCCAGAACAGACCAACCGAACAACTTCAAATTAGGCTGGGTGGTGAGGAGTATGCTTTGAGATTAAGAGAAGATAGGGAGAGAAGAGTACAGCCCAAAGAGAAAATTTGGGAGAAGAAATGTTTTATAAAAAGGAGGTATATCTTCCTGTTTTGGGAGAAGAGATGGTTTTATAAAAAGGCAGTATATCTTCCTGTTTCCTCCCAAAATATATAGAAAAATTTATACTTTTCCCAACATTTTGAAGATGAAATTCTGGGTTTTTGGAGGGGCAGGGGAAGGAGGCAGCAACATACTAAGAACGGCTTCATGGAAACAACAGGTAGCCCAGAGACTGAATTATGTTGAGGTGACATGAGAATTACATAAGATGATGCATGGAAGATAATGCTGACACAGGGAGAGCAATCAATAAATGTAAGTTCTCGGGCCTTCCTGTTGGCACAGGGGTTAAAGACACAGTGCTATCAAGCTATCTCCAGCCACAGCAACATGAGTTCAATCCCCGGTCAGGGATGACCCACACGGCACAGCAGACCTCTCCTGTCTTGCCAGCTGCTCCCCTCAGCAGTACATTTCAGGAAATCTGTCTGTTCTGCTCCTCACTCTGTCTTTGGTGAATCCTCTCTCACACACCCCCTTGCACCTCTGGCCTATACCCCAGTTCTTGTATAGATAAATAAATAAATCTTTTAAAAAAATATAAGTTCTCTTAATTTGGTGGGGAGAAAAGTAAAGTTTAAAAAGTTGAAATGACTTGCACAAGGCCACCACACTAGTGCCTCTGGTTTAACATTTTTTTTTTCTAGCCATACTGCCTCTTTTTTTTTTTTAAAGATTGATTGATTGATTGATTGATTGATTGATTGATTGATTTATACAAGCACTGGGTACAGTCAGAAGCGCGGGAGGGCGAGAGAATTCACCAGAGCCAGAGCGGGAAGCAGAGCAGGCAGAAGGACCGAAGCACACTGCTGAGGGAGCAGCGGGCGGCAGGAGAGGTCGCGCGCCATGTGGGACCCTCCTCCGGTGGCTGGGGAGCAGCCGGGGATCGAACCGGCGCCGCAGAGGCCGCGGGCAGCTTCGCAAGCCAGCGCTCAACCGCTGCGCCACCAGGGAGGCCCCATACTGCCCCTTAATTTATGCTAATGATGTTGAATCACTAGGTGACATCTTTAAGAGAAAAGACTGACAGCACATTTACAAGATTAAAAATGTTCCACGATGACTTTTTGTTTCAGCCAAACAAATACACAAATGAAGAAAGTGGCAACATCAGGGTCTTATTCGTGCTCACATTATTTGCTCTGGTGTGGAGCTTTACAGGCTGATATTTTGATTCTGTATCTCTAGGCCCTCTTCAACTGGATCATTCTAGTTCTAAAATCTGTATCTATAAGCCTCATCTAGGAGCTACTGCTCTGTTGTATCATACGGCAGCTCCTCGCCTCTATAATTTTGTTCCTTTTTAATACGATGCGCCATCAAGTATAATGCATGGGATATAAGCCTCAATTATTGTCAGTGTACTTGCGGACTCATACCAATTATAGTGATATTTCTCTGACAGGCCCCAGGCACACTGCAGCTTAGAGTTCCTCAACACTGAAAAACAGATATTTTCCTTATGGGAGGTTTTCTAATAGCATTTGAAATCATTTAGTTTAAAAACTGTCCTTTTTTTTTTTTTCATTTAGTTGTGGTAATTTATGTGTTTTATATGAAGACATGCATTTAATTTGCATTGTTATAATTTAATATACTTTAGAATCTACTAATTATAGTGAATCTTGTTTTCTTACAGTCAGGGTAGGTAGAGGACAAGATGCTTCAAAGCAAACTTATCCAGCAAAAATACTAGCCTTTGTTACCTTCTCTGACTCTTCGCTCCCTTCATTATAACTCTACTCCCTCTCCAAATCCCTCAATTATTTCCTTTCTGTCACCTCTCTATTTTTCCTTTCATTGTCTTATTGGAGTCAATTCAAAATGGTTTTACTGTTTATGAAACTTTCTATAAATATAAGAAATAGAACCTCTCTCTGACCTAATTTCCACCATTCCCTCTGCCTTCCAACTCTAGATCGACAGTCGTGGCCTCCTCAATGCTCCCTCCCCACACCTGAAGAAAGAACATTGCTCTTTCACTTGCACTGTTTTATTTGAAAGCAACCCACTTCCTCCCTCTAAGCCAATGAGTCATTTTCTCTTTTTAAAGAAAGCCTTAAAAATCTTCCATTTCGCTTCAGTTTAAAATTATTCTCGTTGTGAAGTACTTCATGTCCTGGGTATGAAAGACACCCTTTAAAGCAGAGAAGACTGCCTGAACCACTCAGGACTACAGACAATGCATGACCTACAAAGACTTTAAAATTATGAGTTGAATGGACATCCTTTATTGTTCTTCTTTGTGGAGTCAAGGCACACAGTCTCTTTTGCTCACTAGTGAGTTCCCAAAACCTTGATACATAGTAGTATTTTAATAAATAATTTATTGAATGAGTTAAATTATTCATTTCCCTCTCCTTAACCTCTTTAACTTTCTTAATACCATTTATGCAGTTCATATTTTCACATTGGAATCTTCTAAGATTAAGTAGAACATATTTATGAAAGAATATTGAAAAGTAAGAGGTAAATCAAACTGCAGAAGATACAGTTTAGAAAGTGTCTAAAGAGAGACACATTTATTTCAGTACATTCATGGAATTTACATTAGCATGTCAAATACCTTCTAATATATATCAATGACTCATTTATTTGCTACTATATGATGTATTAGCTCAGTGTAAAAGTAATATCACTTTATATTGCAACCATCAATGTAGTCATTGATTTAAGCAAGACTATCCAATAGATGTTAAAACCAGGGGATATAAACTTACTGTAGAACACAATATTGACACTAGTCTCCAAGTATCACCCTACAAATGATTTATTAATTACAAAAGGGAAAGGGTCTTTTGTAATAGAGAACTCTTACGACCCTCTTAATCACATGATCAAACATGACTAATAATGAGACAAACTGCCATCAAGTGCCTCCTGATACACTGAGAGGACCATAATACTGCTTTTCCTGCCAAAACTGTTTAACATTTTAAATAACAAGGGAAAAAAATCAACTCCAATTTGAGGAATATTCTGAAAAACACTTCACATGTGCTCTTCAAAAATGTCAGTGTCATAAAAGTCTATCGAAGGGTGAGGAATCACTGTAGCTAAAGAAGACTAAAGAGATATGACAACTACATGCACAGCATGATCCTCAATTGGATCCTGAATAGGAAAAAAATAAACCCACCAATTATAAAAGATATTATTGTGACTCCTGGAGGTACTTGAACACAACTGTATATTAGCCAACATTAAGATGCCAGTGTTAACATTTCCTGAATGTGGTGATCATACGGTAGTTATGTAGGAGAATGTTCTTGTTCTTAGAAGACATATGATGAAATATTAGTTATGTGTTATGATGTCTGCAAATAATTCTCATTGGTTCAGGGCAGGAAACTCTCAAATGGTTCACCAAAATTATATGTGTGCATACATATGCTTGGTGTATACGTATATTTATGTGTATATGTATGCATGAGTATAAGTATGCAGAGTGAGATTTTATACACACACAAGAGGAAAATATGACAAAATGTCAACAACTGATGAGCCCACTTGACTGATATATTAAACGAGTCTTCTAACTTTCCAGTTAAAATTTTTTTCTCAATAAAATGTTGAAAGATCTTTTAAAAAATTTTTGAAGATTCAGGATTATTTTGACTGCTTATTCAGGTATATGATGCTCAAAACTATTGATGGTGGCAACTAACCTTTTTTCAAATTTTCTGCTTTCCTCAGTCTCCTTCGGCTCTCCTACTCTTTCCAATCGCTGCATCTCTCAAACAGAGCCATCAATAGATCAGCCATGTGCACAATTACTTCAAGAAATTCTGAATATGCCTGTGTGGACTGCAATTCTGCTTCTTCAAGCAGGAAATTTCTCTCACAGGACCTCTTATAAATAATATACCTCATGTCTATCCTGTAGAGTCTGCATTTTTGTTTTTAGGTTGTCAGTTTATCAGTGCAATGGACGCTATTAATGTTCCCCAAAACAAGATTTTTATTTCCCTAGGATCTTCTTTTCTTTTCTTTTTTTAAAGTATCTGGTTTTATTGTCCTCTAATATCTTTTTAATATTTTACAGTACAAAGTTTCTCTGAAAATGGTTAAACTATTGCTTTATTCCATAAAGAACTAGAGATTCTGGAGAACAAATAAGTCATATTTGCAAATTTGAAGTAATGAGCACTGTGCAACCAAGTGAGTGGTGATAGGTTTGTGTCTGCATCAAGACTGGTCGCTCTGGCGCTCTTCTCTATGTTACTCTGACCCTTTTACTGTTAACCTTTGTAAAATATAAAAGCAAAATAATTGGGACTTACGTCATTGTTGCTCCTGGATCGGCAGTCATTTGATTGGTCACAAACACAGCCACATTATATTCTGCATCAAGAAATAAATTAAGAAAGTAAGAGAAGGTAATGTAAACATAGAAAACTCACTGTTTAGATATCAGAGTTTAGCAACAATGTGCCATGAATTTATTTTATAAACAAGATTGTATTCTTATTTTTTCATTGGTAATTTAAAGTTATTATTGCTATTATTTCGGTATCTTATTGTGTTAGAATGAATGTTTTTGATTTAATAAGACTTGTATGACTATGAAGATAATTTTGATTTTAAAAAATGTGTTACCTCCTGATATTATTGTGAACTTCTCTGCAAAGCCTACTCAGCAAACAGTCACAAATGCTATTCTGATAGCACCATTTTATTAAAAAAAAAACAAAACTACCTTCTGAGATTTTTTGGAGTCGTGACAACATCTGAGCCAATTTTTGCTGCCGTTCAGCCAACTCCCCACGACCACTGAAATCCACTCGAAAAAGTGCCATTATTGAATCAATAATCTGCACAGGGTTAATGTAAAAATAAGTTTTCATTTGGAAATGGAAGAAGTTAATTTGAATCAGAATCAACAAAGAAAAATAACATGCTAAGTTGACTGAGTGAGCATTATTTAAGAGCTTGTACCAGTAGCTTGAAGATGCCAGCTTCTTCATGGAACTTTGCTGCTACATAATCAAGTAGCTCCATCTGATGTTCACCTGGTGGGAAATGCAGTGAGAAAATGCTGTAAGAGCTGGACCAGGCAGAGAGTAGGATCATCTACGTCCCTGGGAAGCAGGCCAAAGAGAGTCTTCGAAGGACCTTCTTAATTATTTATGATTTCATTAAATATGTTTTATATTTTGCCTCAGCATACATGCCAAATTCTACATTATCTAAAAATAATGTTACCCTCTATTTTAAAGACACAGCATAAGAAATAATTTGAGGATATTTTAATATCTAAGCCTTACCTTAGATATTAATTTGGAGGAAAATAAAACAAAAAAGTAGTATCGAAATGTTGTAAGTAGCACTCAGTGCTGCCAACCTTAAAGCAGATGCTTCGGGTTCTTACTAGTATATGCACGTGCATAGAGGACGTTGTCCAGCACTGCATCATGGTCTACATTGAAGCGATCAGCAATGTCCCGGAGGCGATCTGGACGGCTGGGGTATGCCAAGATTAAGGATCCAATAAAGCATTTAGACAACCACAGACAATAATATCTTATGTAATAAACAGAAGTAAAACAATGAACCCGCAAAGGTAATCCAAAGGACACTAAGAATCACTTAAAATCTATACCAGATTTTATTTGTCGTAAGTCCCTCAACTTATGAATACCCTAGGCAGTGATGACAGTCATAGGAATGAGGCCATGTGAATTTAAACACTAAATTTTCTAATCTTTAAAATAACCTTGGAAGCTAGTTGTTATGGCCTATATTACATTTTACTAATGAGGACACTAACAAACAGATTAGGCAAATGACTCAGGATTATGCAGCAAATCAGTTACAAGAGAAAAACTAGAAACTAAGATTGTGAGTCTCTTTTGTTCTCAGTTCTATAAAAATAGATCTATTCTAGGAAGATAATATCACTGAATTATATTTCAAGTCACTTCAAAGTGAATTAATTAACTCTCTTCATACTCCTTGCTTGCTCAATATGAAACTGTTTAATATACCATTAATCATGTGTTGCCACCAAATGATAAATTTGACTACATCAACCCAAGGGTCAAAAAGTTACTTCAAGGGTTAGACTCTCCAATCTAGAGTTTTGCACTTCTTTAGATTTTAAAATCCACCTTCTTCAGGAGTTGGATTAAGGAGTTAGCTTTCTGAAATTAGTAAATTCATACAGAGGCAAATTCAGTCTGCCTGCAAAGGTATTCTGGAAGATAATAATAATCATTTCTATCTACCTAAATTGAAAAGGAGTAATAAGTTTACTTTCAGTCTTTGATGAAGTGAGGTATAATAAAATTTATGTCTGGGGTCTCGTTTCACTTTGTTTATGGTATTTCTGTAACTCTGATCATACTGTAAGTAACTATGAAGCAAGGACCATTTATCATCTTATTTGTGACACTGTAATTGTTCAATAAATGTTGAGTTGTCTTTAGGATTCCTCAACCACCTATTGATATATCCTAATACATAATACAGGTTTCTTCTTCAGAGCTTCAGTAACAGCCACTAGTATCTTCCATTGCTACTGAATATACCCTGTAGATGTTTTTGGTGGACATATCAAAGCAGCAAGGAGTTGGAAGAGGCAGTAACATTTTTCACCACATCAGCTTTTTACAGAACACAGTTACTATGTGATTAGGAGTATAAAAGCTGCACTTAAGGTGAAGGAAAATTCAAATCAACCTACAAATATTTATCAACTGATTACTATAGGTAATCAATGACCATATTAACTTATTACCAATGCAATGCATTGTGCAGGATATAAGGAGTTATAAGACAATCCATGTCACAGGCAAGCAAATAAACAGGCAAAATATAAACATATAAAAAGAAAAATATAAGAGAGAAAAGCATGCAAGACACTGAAAGATTGAGAACATTCCCATGCACCTCACATGTCCTAGTTTCCCCAGCTGTTAATCTCCACTCCCTCTTTTCTCCATCATGACTTTTCTTGATAAAATCCAAATTTCCCACATAGTGGCTGCTAATCTGAAAGAACAAGTCTTCCCTCTCTAAGAACTATCCTTAATTATTTCTGAAGCTAGCTAAACTCCAGCTGAGTTCCTTTTGCTCTGGCCCCATATATCTTCCCTGAGTTAGAAGTCTCTTTGAGAGTTTTCTCATGGCCAGTATTTCCAAATAAAGTCTTCTGCAAACAGTTCTCTGATTGTTTTCCTTCTACTTGAACATTTGAGATAGTAAATTCTAAAATAGATCAAGATGAAAAATGTTTTCTAAGTTGGGTAATTAAAAATTAGAAAAGAAAGCCTTAAAGGATTTAAATGATTTAGGAAAAATGTGAGGTAGGGCTACGGGGGCAAATACCCAAAAGGACAGACATTTACCACGCAAATTTCTCTATGACTGGTCAAATTACATTCAAGAGTGAGAGCAAAATAATGGCATTTTCAGACATGCAAGGGCTCAAAGTTTACCACCTACATGACTTTTCTGAAAGAATTTGAGTAGGTACTCCAGCAAAACAAGGGGAAAAGAAAATGGGGATGCAAGAAACCATAATGAGTAAAGGAAACAAGAATCTTTTAGTTATATCTAAATAACTGTTTTCTAATTTCAAATGTTTTTCAAATTTTAACAGCTAAGTATGTTTTAGAGGCAATAAAATTGGGCTAGAACAGACTGGTCTCTCTCTCTAACAAAGAGATTGTCACTAACAGTGTATCTTAGCGATTTTACACCAAACCCATGTGGAGAAGCTAAACCTTTTAACTATAAAGTGATTTGAGAACTCAACTTGCAATTGTTTTCCTTTTGGCTGTTTTCATTATTGCTGGCTTACGAGATGATTATGAAAATGATATATTTCCAACAGTCTTTTATGGTGACATTACTATCTCACACTATTATGTCAGCAACTTGTTTAAATTAAAGGGTTACAAAGTGTTTTCTGTATCAATGAAGATAATCTTTCCTCCTGGGTAGCCACCTGCTCCTGGAAGTTGAGCTGTCACTAGGAAGAAAATTAAAATTAATATTAATAGGAGTAAATAAACTTTGTACAAATGAATATATAAATTAACATGGGATTTATGCTGGGTTGCAACTCATCAATCAATCTAGTAAAGAATTATGATCCTGCATTTTAAATAGCATGCTATATTTTTATATTGCTAACTAGTGGGAAAATTATAAATATTCTGCCAATATAGTAGTAATTCAACAGATTGTCAATATTTCTCACAATTAGGAGAAAGTTCTCTTAAAGTACAGAAGTAGGGGGCCTCCCCGGTGGCGCAGCGGTTGAGCGCTGGGTTGAGAAGCTGCCTGCAGCCTGTGCAGCACCGGTTCGATCCCCGCCTGCTCCCCAGCCACCAGAGGAGGGTCCCACATGGCGCGCAGACCTCTCCTGCCGCCCGCTGCTCCCCTCAGCAGTGTACTTCGGTCCTTCTGCCTGCTCTGCTCCCCGCTCTGGCTCTGGTGAATTCTCTCACCCTCCCGCGCTTCTGACTGTACCCAGTGCATGTATAAACAAAACAAACAAATAAATAAATGAAAAACATGCCTCTAAAAAAAAAAAAAAAGAACAGAAGTAGGATTTAAATATCACTTTCTTCCTATAAGAAATAGGGGAAAATTAGAAAGCTGAAGAAACTTGCCCAGGGTCACATAATTACTAACGGTGGAGCAAAGACTCAAGTCAGGTGCTTCAACTCTAGAATGCCCAGCTTAGCACTTTGCCAAGCTCCACCAAGTGAGATCAAAGAAATGCAGAATAACATCTTTGTACAAAAGGACATATTTTTGTTTATTTTGCTTTAGAAAATTTGTAAGTCTTTCTTAGGGTCTACCTTATTCTATGGAAAATAAGGGATTCTGACCTCAGTAGATTTTGTGGCATTATTATAGGTAGGGTATAGAAAACATGGAATGGAAAAAACTGAGACTGTGAATGCCTCTCCCCACCAACACACTCACCTACCCACTTACTTCCTATTTTCATTCAGGTGTTCCCAGAGTAGCATAAACAATGTCACCTCATGCACCATATATTCAAAGACCAGTTTGGTAGTTGTACAACCACAGGCACTTTATCTAACATCTGAGCTTCTTGCTAATTTGTTCAGATTACATGAAACTATATAAAGTACACAAAGCAGATCAGTAAGTGATTGCTAGATTATTATTGCTATTACTGTTGCTGTTATGCATCCTTACCACAGAGGGTATGAGAGAGCTGGGTTTTTCCAGTACGAAACTCTATAAAATATAAAGAAAAAACCCATGGTTAATTTTTAGATATTTTTATATAGAATAATATATGGTGGCAGATACGGTTTTCTTTTCCAACTGTCAAATCTCACACAAAAGCACTGCTGCATCATGAATGAATTGTGCATGTATGAATACTAGTAACAAACAGAATCTTTTATTTTCTTAAAAAATTTTATTTATTGCATAGAAAAACTGGGGTGTAGGCCAGAGGTGTGGAGGAGGGTTGAGAGGATTTACCAGAGACAGAATGGGGAGCAGAACAAGTGGATTTACTAAAATACACTGCTGAGGGGAGCAGCAGGCAAGACAGGAGAGGTCTGCAGCACAATATGTGGGTCAGCTTCCTGGCCAGGGATCGAACTCAGGCCACAGTGGTGATAGTGCAGAATCTTTTAAAGGTTTTTATTTTTTTCCCACAAACTGTCCTTGAGATAAAAATAAATTAAACCAAGTTTTCCTCAAGAACAGTTACATAAATAAAGACTTAAGTCCCTGCCATCAGAAGGAGAGCCTGGGGTTGTCCCACTAACCAAGATCAAGGGGGAACAGAAGTAGTCGCACATTAGGGACATGCCTGAGTTACCAACAAAGGCAAATTCCCTTTGTAGGAAAACTTTCCACTCACCAGTTTGGGCCCATTGAGTGCCCACAGATCAAGCAATAAGATCACAAATATCGGTAAACTCACAAGAAGGAAAGCCACTGAAACTTTGCATCAACAGCAGTAATAAAAACCAGATTTATTTATTTATTTGCATGAATTGTTCTGGAGAAAAATAGAGGATACAATCAGAAAAGAGAAAACCTACTCTCTATGTTCATGGGATATGCATTTCCTAGAAAAATTAATCTCATTTCCAACTACCTTTTGAAGGGGTGAGAAAAAATGATATTCTACAGGCCCGAGATAAAAAGATGAAAAATGCCACTAAGATCCACTAGTTATCACTTCACTTATATATAGAATACACAGAAACCAGAGGGTCAGACAAAGAGAAACTTTAAAACCAACCCTTGAAAACTGACCATAAATCTGAGGCATCCAGGAGGGGAAGGAGAGCAGTGCGAAAGACTATGGTGGAGGATTATGGGTGCTCTTGTGGTGGGAAGGCTGTTGTCAACACACCTGATGGGGGAAATCCTATACTGTCAAAAAATTAACAAGGATGTAAAACAATCGTACTTCATTAAAAATTTTTTCCAAAAAATCCATCAGTTAGGGCCTCCCTGGTGGCGCAAGGGGTTAAGATGCAACCTATGCAACCTATGAAACTATCTGCAGCCACTGTAGCACGAGTTCGATCCCCAACCAGGGAGATGACCCACATGGCTCAGCAGACCTCTCCTGACTTGCCCGCTGCTCCCCTCAGCAGTGTGTTACAGTCTGCCTGTGCTGTTCCCCACTCTGTCTCTAGCGAATCCTCTCACCCCCACACCTCTGGCCTATACCCCAGTTCTTGTATGTATAAATAAATAAATCTTTTTTTAAAAATCCATCAGTTAATGCTGAAATAAAAAATCTATCAGTTAATGCTGTAATGGCAGCCCAGAATGATTCAGTATTATGATAACTGAGATTTCTTCTTACGTTCCAAAGTATGTGTGTATGTTCATAATAATTTTTTCATGTAACAAAAAATTAAGGTTCTACTTACCTCCAAAAGCTTCTGTGATTGCCATGCTTTCAATTCCACCTCCTAGCAACTTACTGGAAATAGAAAGTAAGCATTAGCAATAGGAACAGAAATAGAGACATCAAGAAAAGAGAAAGTATTAATATACTTAGCAACACGTCTGCCTGTCTATTTATCCATCCATCCATACATACATACATACATCCAACATGAAAAGGAATTCCTGGCTGAACAAAATGGCACTCTGTTTGTTTAGATCACTGGTTCTACTCTGTATGGGCAGGTGGATCAACAAAACAATGTATAAGCCCTGCTGTTCTTACTTCTGGTTACCAATGGAAATGGACTAAATAGGCTTTATGGTTCATTTTTCTTTAGAACTGAAATGGAGTTTGAATAAATGGTCTTAGTTACTAACTAGGTTATTCATATTGTGCTGGAACTATGTTTCTGAAAGTCAACTAGCTATTATTCAATTTTTAAAATATAGTAAGAAACAGTCTCCAAATACATGTTTGGAGAATCCAGTGACTATCACCATGATTTGGCTTGTCTCACACAAACCAAATTCTATGAAGAACATGTCAGACTAGGAAATATTAAAAGATGTTATAGGTAATGCTAGCAGTTACATTAACTGCCAGATTTTGACAGCATACATTTAATCGGTAACTCAGTGTTATCGTGCATTTAATATTCTTGATGTGAAAGACCTGTACTTAAGTCATTATCTCATTCATTTATCTTAAACAGATTTTACACATTCATTTGAAACAAATTCACTTGCAGCAAATATTAATTGTGTTAACTCTACTGAGACCTGGAAGGGGCACTTTAAAAAATTTTGTTGTTTCTATGAGCCTGAATTTTGGGACATATCACAAATCAGATAAAGATTTAAGAGACAGTTAATAAAATAGTTCTACATTTACATGTCTTAAGAGAGCAATTTAGGGGCCTCCCCGGTGGGTGGCGCAGCGGTTGAGCGCTGGGTTGCGAAGCTGCCCGCGGCCTCTGCGGCGCCGGTTCGATCCCCAGCGGTTGAGCGCTGGGTTGCGAAGCTGCCCGCGGCCTCTGCGGCGCCGGTTCGATCCCCGGCTGCTCCTCGGCCACCGGAGGAGGATCCCACATGGTGCGCAGACCTCTCCTGCCGCCCGCTGCTCCCCTCAGCAGTGTACTTCGGTCCTTCTGCCTGCTCTGCTCCCCGCTCTAGCTCTGGTGAATTCTCTCACCCTCCCACGCTTCTGACTGTACCCAGTGCATGTATAAACAAAAACAAACAAACAAACAAATAAAATAAATAAATAAAACATGCCTCTATAAAAAAAAATAAATAAATAAATATTAACCTTTGGACAGTTTCTTTAAAAAAAAAAAAAAAAAAAGAGAGCAATTTAAATATATATGGAAGCAATAGTAGGAAGTTATCTACAAATTTAGTGAGGACTTCAATGATAAGAAAAATCTAGATACTGACCTTCATAACTTGAATCTAAAGGACAAGGGCTAAGAGATCACCCCTTTGGAGAACATGAACTTAGAGATCCTATAAGCCTAGCAGCTATGAAAGAGAGCTTTACTTGAGAGCTTTATTTCCTCATCTTGACAAAAATCACCTAAAAGCCTATACAGCTCTGGAAAATCTCAGAGAAAATTTCTGGTTGATATGTAATTTTAATCAGCTGAAAAAAAGTAACCACAAAATTTACCTGACAGGGTACCCCTAAGTTATTTGGAATGGCATAATTGTTCCCTTTGTGAAACTCAAGAAAATTCAAAATTAAATATAGAAATAGTGTTTTTAAATCTAGGGAGAGTTAAAAATAGAGACACAAATCAAACCCACAGATTACTATTTTCATATTAAATTTGGGAATATCTGTGTGTATTTGGCATTTCAGAACTTTTAAAGTTTAAGAGAATTTGACCTTTTTTATAATAACAAATTAACCTCTAATTAATTAAATGATATAGACCTGAAGTTTTTAAATTGATAACTAAGTTTATATGAGGTATTTGAATGTTTAAGAGTGCCTAAACTCACTATACTTGTAATTTTATGTTACTAGATTTACAAAAGACTCTTAGGTAACTAGAAGATCTAATATTTAGGTAGTTACTAAAGGAAATATAACATTAAATTTCTAATTAATTATAATGTAAAATGTCTAAGAGAATTTAGTTAACTATATTACAAAAGCCCCATTAAAATCTGATAGATTTATAAAGGACTTGCTCCTGAAAGAAAAAATACATAACATTTTAATAAATCAAATATTAATTTTTAATATCTTAAAAATTAAGATCCTGAGTAATCTTTTTTGTGCCCCAAACACATCAAGGATACCAGAAAACTCACAATGACAGTGTCAAATGACAAAAGCAAAGCCATTTAGTTTGGGGGAGTACATTGCCTCAGGGTCCACTGTGCCTAAGGGATGTGGGGCTACAGCAAATTTTACAGTGTCCTATAAGGGGTAATGTGGAAAAAGAACATGACTGAGTAGGAAAGTGGGGATTTCCCCATAAGGCTAGCAGGTCCTATTTTTTAAGTTAAAGTAAACTAGCTAAAGTTGGAGGATTGTAATTAGTGTACATTTGATTTCCTTGACAGGTGTTTCTGACTTAAAGCTAGATTTGTGACGGGTATCGTTATCAGCAGTGATAATTCTCTAGCCTGGTGATTCTTCAACCATGAAGTGGTAAAGCAACTGGAGACTGTCAATTGACTGTCAATTGTTATTTGAATCACGCTGTTTGGTGGATCAGCCTGATTTTGACCAATTTGCTTAGGGGAGGATTTCTCAGACTCTTCCTTAGCTGCTACTTGGAAAAAAGTAGCAACTTAAAATTTGAGACAAAGCTAAGTTAAATCAGTATTTTGTTTTACTGCAGGATTTTAGATCCTTTTAATAGGCTAGTGCACTGTGTAGCTCTAAGAGGAATGTAGAGTAGACTGCATTTCCCCAACTTACTTCATTGTTTATTCATTTAATTAATCATTTGACAAATATTTACTAAACACCTAGACTATGCTAGAGAAGGTTCTATGTACTTTGGGTAAAGTAGTGAATAAAAGACAGAAATCCTTTACCTTCATGGTGCTTATAGTCTAATGAAAAAACAGACAATGAACATAAATAAGTAGACTATATGGTAGTTCACATATTTTGGATTAAAAAAAATTACATCCAGGGCCTCCCTGGTGGCGCAAGGGGTTAAGTCTCAGCACTGTGAAGCTATCCACAGCCACTACAGCACAAGTTTGATGCTATCCCTGGCAAGGGAGCTGACCCACATGGCACAGCAGACCTCTCCTTACTCATCTGCTGCTCCCCTCAGCAGTGTATTTCAGTCAGTCCTTCTGTTCTGCTCCCCACTCTGCCTCTGGTGAAGCCTCTCACCACCCCTCCCCCTGACACCTCTGACCTACACCCCACTTCTTGTATACATAAATAAATAAAACAAATCTTTTTTTTTTTTAAATTAGATCCAGAAAGAGAAAAAGGAATGCAGAGGATGAAGGTAGGGAGTTCAAATTTTCAAGAAAAGCAATCAGAGAAGGCCTCATTAAGAAATGGACATTTTAGCTTCATGAGGAAAGTATGTTCCAGGCAGAGTGGATGCTAAGTGCAAAGACCCTGAGGCAGAGTGTATTTGGCATGTTCTAGGAATAGCAAAGAGGTTATAAAAAATATGAGATACACACTCAAATTCCTGGCTCCCAGTAGTGATATGGAAAACCATCTTCCTCTTCTCACTATACTCAAATGCAGTCAAGAATCCTGGTTCCTGTAGAGATAAAAGGAGAGGTTCAGAAAGGGTATAAGATGACAGTTTTCAAATGCTGCCCAAAGTATATACTTGATCCTCAAGGTATATATCAAGTACTACATATACATTACAGTCATTTGTTTTTGAAGGTAGCACAAAGTCATGGCTTAGGACACAGGCTCTAGAGCCACCTACCAAGGTTCAAAACATGTCTGTCACATTTATTAGTTTCATCATGTGGGATAAACTGTTTAATTGCTGAACTGAAGCTTCCTCTTTTTTTTTTATTTTTTTATTTTAATTTTTTTTTTAATAGAGGCATGTTTTTATTTATTTGTTTGTTTGTTTGTTTGTTTTATTTATACATGCACTGGGTACAGTCAGAAGCGCGGGAGGGTGAGAGAATTCACCAGAGCCAGAGCGGGGAGCAGAGCAGGCAGAAGGACCGAAGTACACTGCTGAGGGGAGCAGCGGGCGGCAGGAGAGGTCTGCGCGCCATGTGGGACCCTCCTCCGGTGGCCGGGGAGCAGCCTGGGATCGAACCGGCGCCGCAGAGGCTGCTGGCAGCCTCGCAACCCAGCGCTCAACCGCTGCGCCACCGGGGAGGCCCTGAAGCTTCCTCTTTTGGGTTAAATGGGAATAACAGTGTCTCTCAAAGGGTAACTATAAAGATTAAATGAGATATATTTATGGCATAAAACAGAATGGCATTTCACTAAACGATTCAGTTGATTTCATTCAACAATGTCACGCTTCCCTAGCCCTAAAAATTGCAAGGGGTGCAGAAATTCATTTTCACTATTCCTCAGACAATATTTTTCATGTGGTAGATGTACTACTTATTTGCTAAATAATGAGCTACAGATGTGGTAGTGAGACTGCCCTGATGTGACCCAATATATTTCCCTCTTTGTTGTTTTATACTCTGAGAGTGTTTCTTAAACTTTGGAGAATTGAAGAACAAAGGTGGGGAGCAGGTGCGCTCCTACCTCAGTGAATCTGAACCTGTGTATTCTTTATTAGCCACTCCAGGTGACTCTGATGCATACAAACGCTTATAACCACTATACTAGGAAATTAACGTCCTCTCTCTCCTTCTTTCTTCATCTCTTAATACCTTTCTCTAAGAATAAACAGCTTTAGCTTAAAAATATCTTTCTCGGGCCTCCCCGGTGGCACAGCGGTTGAGTGCTGGGTTGCAAAGCTGCCCGCAGCCTCTGCGGCGCCGGTTCGATCCCGGCTGCTCCCCGGCCACCGGAGGAGGGTCCCACATGGCGCGCAGACCTCTCCTGCCGCCCGCTGCTCCCCTCAGCAGTGTACTCGGTCCTTCTGCCTGCTCTGCTCCCCACTCTGGCTCTGGTGAATTCTCTCACTCTCCCGCGCTTTTGACTGTACCCAGTGCATGTATAAACAAACAAACAAACAAATAAATAAATAAAAAAACATGCCTCTATAAAAAAAAAATCTTTCTCTAAGAATAAACAGCTTTAGATAAACTCTGGGAGTAGAAATAGGTGCTTGAGAAGAAGAGGGATTCTTTTCTTCAGAAATGGGAATTAGTTTCCAAAGAAAAGAAGATTATAAAGTAGCAGCTTCCCAGATAGCCTGCAAGTTGTGGAACTGACCTGTGGGACATACTGCCTGAATTTACTCTGAAGCGACAGCAACTGAGCTGTACAATTGGCTCAGAACAGTTCTATTGGCTCTTTTTCAAGTTCAGGACCACACCATCATTTACATCACTCTCATTGCCTCTGGGAAAGGAAACCAAATGGCTGTTGGTGAAGATAAATTCTAAGACTTGCTAGAAAGAGCCCCTAGCAAACAGCTGTAGAAATGGAGACACTTGCTCTTCTGCAAATGAGACTTGGTGATTACCTTTCTGCACATTCCTATTCCCAGAGTTGGTGCCTCCAGTAGTCCCAAAAACTCTACACAAAACTCGAGTTAAAGGCATGTTTTTACTCAGAGCCTCTCAGCTGCATGGGCCTCTCACAGTCCACAGCATATGGTTTACTTTAGCTGAGCTGCTTCAGTGAGCATATTCTTGATCCTGTCTACCTCAACAGCACACATGTAGATCCAATACTTAGTCTTTTTCTAACCCAATTGTCTCTTATCAAATGGCCTGTACCAAGAGAGACCAACATCTTTGGTGCTATGTGCTTTGCAATAGCCATAGACATAAAATCTGAGGAGACAAGAAAAGAGGGGGAGGACGGTAAAAAAACAAACATGAGAAGGAAAGGTAGAGAAACAAAAAAAGGTGGGGGAGGGGGGCAATGTAAAGGGACAAAAGTATTGGCAAAATTCATTACCTCCCTGCTGTCCTGGTCTCTTAAACCCTGCTCAATAGCTATTGCTTTGAAACTGAAGTAATAAAAGATGAATATGGGGAATAACATATTGTGATCTACAGGAACTCAGAGTTCCCCCAACAGTTTCTAGTGGTCATAATGAGAAAGGTTAGAGAGACACTGATGAGCCCTTCTAAATTAAAACAAAGAATAGATTTGCTTACAATAAGTTTGTTGGCTGCCTCTTTAATCTTATCTACTTTTGCTTCTGAAAGCCCTTTGACATTGCACAGGGCTCTTCTTGTCGTCATTTGTATTCCTTTGATGGTGCAGATGCCTACTGACTTCAGTTTCTTAATGTCAGCCACGTTCTGTAAATAAAAGAATGAGTGTAGCAGATTGATGCAATGCCAGCCTGAAAGGCTCCAATACTATGTCTTGTACTTTTGTGTCCATCTCCTTCCACCACGATGCCAATTTTATACAAGCAGCCAGGTGGAACCCACCCACCATGTAGCCAAATGTTCTGGAAATATCTGAGTAGAACATACCCAGCACGCTGCCAAATGTTCTGGCTGTGCCCTGATTTCCCAAGAATGTTAGTGAGACCAAGGCAATGTAACAAGAATTCAAAAAGAAAAGTCTGTTGTTAGAAAAACCAACAATTTTATCACACATTCACCCCCTCAGTTCAGCTCCTTTCTTCTGTAGAACTTCACTACCAATATGTTCTTTAAATTTTTTTTTCTTCTGCTCTTGGAGAATGCAAATAACTACATCACTAAAGGACCAGGATTTTCTATTGCTCCAATTTTCTAAATCCAACTGAAAGACTGAATGTGAGGGCTTTAAAAGAGAAGTTTTACTATCAGCTGATTGCTGTTGAAATTCAGCTAGCTTGTTATTCAAAGTCTGAATTTCTGCAGGCAACATTATGCTTATCACCTGACATAGAACTGAATTTTCTACTGACAAAAACAGTAGATGTAGATAGCTCTCAACTCCTCCAGATGAACCAGTGGTTTCCAATCTGGAGGGAGCAATTTTTCCGCCTGGTGATGCTGAACAATGTCTGGAGAATTGTTGGTTGTCACACCTAGAAGGGTGCTACTGTCGTGAAGTGGGGTTGCTAAACATTCTAAAATGCAAGGGACAACCCCCAACAACAAAGAATCACCCAGTTGCAAATCTCAGTAGGGTCAAAGCTGAGAAACCCTGAATGGGACAATTTCACAGAGCATTGAAAAAAAAAAAATACTTACAATTCCATGTTTTTGTAACAGGTCAATGTCTTGAAACAAAGATTCCTAAAAGATATTGAACAGAAAAAAATGGAATTTTGATTCTTCATATCCAACTATTTCACATCTTTTAAAGAATCAACTCATTATGAGTCATTCTGAAATGCCTCAAATTCCACTTCCCTAGACAGTCTGCAGTACAATCAAAAAACTTTTTTTTGATGAGAGTATCAGTATTGCAAGGTCTGGGAAGCCCAGTATTTTGTTATGGCCTCTCAACATTTTTAAAACCTCAACCCAAGTAATTAAAGAGTTAACCTGTTTTTAAATATGTTTTCTCTACTTTCTTCACCACCAGACTTGAACTTCTTCCTCTGCCATTTGGTACCAAGAGGCATGGGTGCCAGTATCCCCATACCAGTTGTTAAGTTATTAAAATACTTTCATGCCAGTTGCTAAGTAGCTAATCTTAGTACCCCTTGCAGATCAAGTTGTTACATATTTGTGATACTGACTGCCTCTCTCTAGAGCTATGCTTTATTTCTACTTGCAGTTTCTAAAAATAGTAGTAAGAGAGAAGGAACTTCATTTCTGTGGAATGACTGAAATGTCTACATCTTTCAACATCTTAATCATACCTCTTCATCTTGGAAACCTGGCTCTTCCATTACAACTTGATCTTCCTTCATAATGAAAGGTGAGCAGCAGAAAAATAATCAATTCTAGGAAAATAAGAAATATTTAAGAAATAGCAGACATAGTAACAGTGTCAAATCCTTTGCCCAGAAAACTTGATTCTATTTCAAAGTCACAAAGGACCAGGACAATAAGAAACATTTGGTTCAGAAAGACTGGGTTGGCCAATCTTTTTCTGATGGGCATGTGGCATTTTTTTTTGGCCAGTGTCTGTGGGGGTAGGGAGGGTTTCTTTCCTCAAAACTGCTTTTTATCTTTTGTTACATAGTCAGTCATGGCTGCCTAATGACACCTTTACCATTGCTGTTGTGGTAGAATGTTTAGAATTGCCTATTGCTATTAAACCTTTCATGTTTATGTTAACATATCTAAGAACTTTGTATTGTTCTTTCTGTATCCTTCCTCACACCCAGAGCTTAGTCTGTCCTTAATAAATAATTTTATTTTTCTCTTATATGATGACTGCTTTCCTTCTTGCAAATTATGAACAGGCAGTCTTGTAATATTTATCTTTTTCCTTTTTTAGTATTTACTGGCTTCACTTTTTTTTTTTTAAGATTAAAATGATGGTGAGGAGGTTGTGCAGCAGGTTGAGTGCAGTTCTGGTGGTGCAGCAGGTTGAGTGCAGTTCTGTGAAGCTGTCCATAGCCTCTGCAGTGCGGCTTTGATTCCCACCCGCTGCGGAGCTACCCACATGGTGCAGCAGAACATGGTGCGGCAGACCTCTCCTGTCTGGCCCACTGCTCCCCTTAGCAGTGTATTTTTTTTTTTTAAAGATTTATTTATTTATGCATACAAGAGCTGGGGTACAGGCAAAAGATGCGGGAGGAGGGTGAGAGGACCCACCAGAGACAGAGTGGGAAACAGAACAGGCAGATTGACTGAAATACACTGCTGAGGGGAGCAGCAGGTGAGATAGGAGAGATCTGCTGCACCATGTGGGTAGCTCCCTGGCAGGCTGGGGATCGAAGGTATGCTACAGAGACTGTAGATTGCTTCATAGTGCGGTGCTTAACCCCTTGTGATAACAGGGAGGCCCTCAGCAGTGTATTTCAGTCAGTCTGCCTGTTCTGCTCCCCACTCTATCTCTAGTGACTCACCTCCTGTGCCTCTGGCCTGTACCCCAGTGCTTGAATAAATAAATAAATCTTTAAAAATAAATAAATAAATAAATAATCCCTAGAGGTGAGGTAACCTGAGGCTGTTCTTTTGGGGAAAAAAAAAAGGTGGATACCCAATATTAATGATACAATATCAGGGTCGATAAGCCGATAAGTCTTTCACGCCACAGCTACTGTTTTGTTCGTTAGCATGAAACGTGTTCCAAGTTTTGTGGGTCCACACCAGGCCTCACTGAACACTCAAGAGGCGGTGATGGCCGGCAGAGGGGAAGAGTCACTGTGGCGGGAGCACGCGGCCCCCCTAATATTAATAACAGCGCAGTCTCTGAGGCACCCAGGGAGAAGCCAACAGGAAGCTTCTGGAACACTGCCCCTCAGCCATCCAATGAGCTAATAGTCATTGTTCTCCGCTAAACGAAGGTTCTCCTCCATCCCTCTAAGGCAGCACCCCTAAAGTGGGGTCCACGCAGGAAAGGGTGTCGGGGTCACCCTCCACCTACCTCAGCGGTGGGCCGCTCGCGCCGGCCGCTCACGTTCCTGACGCGCGATTCCCTCCTAAGGCGGCCGAGGACGCCTCCTCAATCTTAGGATTTGATTTGAAATAAGGACGCTGGGATCCCCGGCGACCCCCAGTTTCCTGAGGGCCGCGGGCGGGTCGCCCGAAGCCACGAGCCCGGACCAGCACGCCCCCCAACACCACCCAAGGAGGGACGCCTGGGGCCGCCCCTCACTCGTTGCTCAGTTTCCCTTTTTGCCACAACCCACCTCATACCCGGAGTCTCCCCGAGATTTCTAAGGTGAATCCCCTCGGCCCCCAGCCCGGGCTTGCTAGTCCTCTGGGACTCTGACTCGGAACCGAACTCGGAGACCGTCGCTCGTCGCTGAGCGTCGCGGCCGCGACCTTTGGCGCCAAACCGCTGGGGCTGGAGAGCGCGCCGCGTGGGCGGGCCCGGCGTGGGCGGGGCCGGCGTGCGGGGGCCAGGGCGTGGGAGGGGCCGAGGCCTGTCCTAAAAGTGGGCGTGTCCTGGGCAGAAGGCGAGGGCAGGGTTACCTATCTGGAACCTTGAAAGGAGCTTCTAGGGTGGTGCTCTGGGGTGAGGGAGGGTGCTGAGGTGGAGCAAGAGCGCTGAGGAGGGCCACCCTGGTGGCACAAGAGGTTAAGACACAACCTATGAAGCTCTCCGCAGCCACTGCAGCACGAGTTCAATCCTCTGTCAGGGAGCTACCCACATGGTGCAGCAGACCTCTCCTGTCGTGCCCGCTGCTCCCCTCAGCAGTGTATTTCAGTCAGTCTGTCTGTTGTGTTCCCTACTCTGTCTCTGGTGAATCCTCTCACCCCCCCCCACCTCTGGCCTGTACCCTAGTTTTTGTATGCATAAATAAATAAATCTTTAAAAAAAAGTGCTGAGGAGAGGAACTTTGATGGAAGGAAGCTGGGCCCTCCCCTGAGCTGAGGGAGATGCTGAGATCAGGGAGAGGACACTGAGATGGAAGACATTGAAATTAGGGGTGGGGGCTGAAGTGGGCCCTGCGGTGAAGGCATGCTGCTGTGGAAAGAAGGCCCTAAGATGGGGGCTGTTCTGAGATGAAGAGATGTCACAGAGAAGAGTTAAGAGGTGGAAGGCATTGGGGTGCAGAGGGATGCTAGGCCTAGGTGACTGACCTGGGGATGACACAGAAAGCTGACCTTGATCAGGACCCTGGGTTAGGAGGTCAAACCGGGGGCTCTTTTTCACTTGCTCAAGGCTTCTCTTTTCACTCCAGGTTTTTCATACCTGGCTTTATAGTGTGAACCTCATCGTTCAGGGCTCCTAATTTCTCTCTTCCCTGAGAGGCTCTTACCACTTGCCACACTCTTGTCTGTGAGCGAGGCACCCAAGGCCCATTCAGGATGAAGAGTAATTTTTCTTCGCCTTAACTTGAAATTTTAAATAGACCACAGAAGCCAAATATATTTTGGTCCAGCTTTGAAATAGAAATTTTAGACTAGTCTTCATGCCAGCAGAGCCTGTCTCTGGCGCATCCTCCTCCACCCCTTAAATGGAGATTGATTGTCGAGGAGAGTCATGAAACATTTGAAAGAGCATCTGTTGAGGTGGAGGCTGGATGTATCTCGGATGAATATCTGTGCAAACAGTTCTTTGGGTTAAAGACTAAGTACAGGGTGACCCTTTTGCTTCAGATTCTGAATCATTTTGCTGGAATAAATAGCAAAAAAAATTCCCACAATAGCTGTTAGCAGTTTGTAGGACACCTCTCCCCCACCCAGGTGGATTGTTTAAAGACCTGAGAAATTAAGTGCTATAGTTCTTCAAAATCTGTTATTTTCCAGAAACACAGCCTGCCCTTTGTGTTAAACAGAAATGAATGCCCATTTGTTTGGGCAAACTGGGGAGGGATTGATAGGCTTTCACTTTGAGGCCTCATCCAAAATAATTCTAGTACCTTCAGAACAACTTGTTAGATGGAGACATCAGCTGTACAGAGGAGCTGCAAAGAGCACAGCAAGATGATTTAGGGAAATATAACATATGTATTTGGTGTAGTGACAGCTGGGCGAGAGAAATGTTCATAATATTTGAAGGTTGTGTGCCGTACACTTAGAGAAAGAAACAGAAATGAACTTGGTAATGACAAATACATGAAGTGAGGATACAAACCTTGTTTGGATATGAACTTAATAGTTATACATAATTTTCAAATGAATTTTTAAAACCCCAACCCCTGGGTTGTTTAAAAAGTACACTTGATGAATTTTCACTCAAATCAGGACAACAAAAAAAACAACTAGTCTTCATATCATACAAAAATTCTGAATATGATGAAAGTGGCATTTCAAATCAGCAGGGAGATGATGAATTCAATGAATGGTGTTGGAACAACTAGGTAGCCATCTGGAAGAAAAATAAAATTGGAATCATACTTCACACCTACTACCAAAATAAATTCCAGATGGATCAAGAAATTAAATCTGAACAATAAAATAACAAAAGAACTAGAAGAAAACATGAGACCATTTTTTTAAATTATCTCAGAATAAGAAAAATCTTTTAAAGCATGACACAAAACTCAGAAGTCGTAAGACTTCTCAAAAGCACAGTTTCAAAAAATCCTGCAGGGTAAAGAACTACTTTCCACTACTTTCCTTTCCAAGATAGGGAGCAGGGCAAAGTTGGAGCTTGTGTTGGTTGTCAACTTTCCTTTCCAAGATAGGGAGCAGGGCAAAGTTGGAGCTTGTGGTGGTTGTCAACTTTCCTTTCCAAG